ACTATAGCAGCAGTAGAGTTAAGCTCTTGATCTCATTTCGACAGCAGGAACTACAGAAAGTGCCTGCAGAGGTCGTGATCCGTATTAGATCTATGACAGGATGGGGACGGGGGACATTATGTTGTAGGGCCATGTACTAGACACATAAAGATACATTGACAAAATATACTATCTATTTCTAAACCACATAGAGTTTTATATCAGTTTTACAGTGTCATGTAATTCATGTGAGGAATCTGATTTTGCATCTTGATATGTCTTTGGTCTAAAGAATTATTTGTAATGACAAAAATGTTTATCATATACGTAATAAAAATCCCTGAAATACGGACAAAGGTTAGCTGATGATGCATATGAATTCCAGAGATGGTGTTTATTTGATGCATGACAACGATGTACATTAAAGCAGAGGTATGAATTTTACCTCAGACAAGTCATTTTCTTAGGTTTGAAAGGACTGTTCTTATCCTAACATCAGCTATTATTCTTAGGTCACGAGTTAGTCCTATTTCAAGGGGTCAGATATCCAATGAATGACTCTTGATGTGAGTACACTCTATCCATCCCGACTGTCTGCTAATGCGCTGGCCAGTCCTCGAGATGAAAGTGCCTGTAAGCTGGGGTCTTCTCCAAAACCTAGAGTACCACAACCAGTACTTCAGAAGTGTGTAGGTACAAAGTACCGAACTCAGTATCTCAGCATGATTAAAACACCCCTCAGGGAGATGTGTTTCTGTGAGATTTTAGTTTTAAGGATAGAGCACCATCGAAGCCTTGCCAAAGTATTTGTACATCGTTGTACCAGTAAAAACTTTATCAAGAAAATCCATTACTTTGGCCTGATGTTTACTTAATGTAGTACATATAGAATACTACACAGTGTATTCCGTATCGCCCGAGGTACCAGCCTGACCCACGGAATACAGTGTGTTTATTATCATATATTATATTTTATTTATGTCATACCCACCCAAGAAAACAGACATTTCGATGCAAAATGTGCCGAAATTTGGTGAATCTAAACAAAAAGTGTAACAGCATCTATTCCAACATCCAAATTCGGTGTTCAAAGTTTTGGAAGCGGTGCACTCGGTGCGTGCAAGACACGTTCGAATTATTCTATGGAACTTATGGAACCCCGGGCCGTACTGCTAGTTATCACATGGGCCAGAACACGCATATCGAACATAATCGCAGCCCAGGTATGACATAATGGACTCATACTCTACAAGTATATAATGGAACCTAAACCTTAGAATAACCCCACAGCTGGACATAGTTTAATAAGCTTTCAGTAGGCAGTCTGATCTCACTAGTCCTTTCACATACAATGCATATTTCATTATCTCCATTACCATTTACTTCCCCCTTTCACAGAATTTTATCTCCCTTGATGGGATATGAGGCACTTGTCAGGAGTTATTGAAAGCCTTTAAGGTCAAGTGCAAGAGAGGGGTTAGCAAAGTAAAGCCCAAAATAGAACCTCTATTTAGAATGTAATTGCTCTGCAGGTGGGCACAGGCTGCTGCCAGCTATTAGTATTAGGAGGAAGAGTTTGTCTATGAGGGCTTCAGGCTTGTCTGTACTGATTGTTCACAGAGTTAGTATATTGTATATCTTGCGATACCTGGTGTCACAGCAATGGTTAAAACATGACTGCCGTCATGAAGAGAAGTGTGCGTCTATGCTGACCATCTTCTCAAGAATGTATCTGTTTGTCAGTTGCCACCAACCAAGGGTAAAACTAAAAGCCAACAGTACAGCTTCCAGCCTGAACAATGCTTGTTTGTTTGTTTGTTAATTGATTTTATCAGGGGCTTGTATTGACTGTAGTAAGTTTAAGGTTTTTATGTGTCAAAAGTCCAAGACAGCAACACAAACACAGCAACATACATTTAAATCTGCTGTTATATACTGGTAATACATGTATTTGGGAAAGTTGACTCAATCTGCAAATGCCTCATTAATCACAGCATCAAATTTGAATAAAAACATACATGTAGCACGTAATGTCAATATTTTGTCTGTTTTCATGGTGATATCGTTAACAATTGAGCAGGACAGTTTTCATCATTTAAATCAGTTCAGCTCTACTCAATACAGATTTCTACAAAGAGCAATAAAGAGTAGAATTGGAAAACAATGCAAAATAGTAATTATCCTTTAAACTTTCATATTTTGTACTGTTATTAAGGTCAGACACATTTATTTAACCTTGAAGGGTGTCAAAGTTCATTGTCTGTGGATGAGTCAGCGCTCCCAAATGGAGTTTTCATGTGGTCAGGGTAGCCTTTTTGGCTGTCAAGACAGGTGTTTGTAAAGTAAACAACTCTGTTTGCAAAGCATTCAGTTCTAGACCCTGAACAGCCATTCAGTATCGTGCCGTATGATATATACCATGCAGTGTTTCTTCAAGAAGATATCTCCATATCTAAGTGTGGATGGAGCATAGCAGGAAACTATTATTGTTACAGTAGTAAAATGTATTTCCATATAACTAACATTAAGTGGTACTACCTGTATGGAAGGCAGACTGACCCTAAGCCATGAGGGTGGGGGATTCTATTCAGCTTGAATAGGTTAGGACAGCCTTTATTATGCAAATAGGACAGCCACCAATGGGAGAGGGGCTTGGGTATAAGGGGCGTGACCATGAGAGGTGTGGCTATGTGTATCACCCGATGTGTCGTGCCACCTTATTGTTGTGTTACTCACCTGAAACAGAATGACCTAGCGGCTTGCCAGCAAGCATGCCTTGTTTGAGAATGAGTTGATTTGCGGCAGGTTTTGGGTGGATACATGACTAGCATGGTGTTCTATACCATGGAAAAGGGTTTGAGGAAGTTTCGGCGGAGATTGTCCCTTCCAGTTGCTAAAAGGTGAGAGGATGTAATCTCGAAATGTAGTCATGGTGGAAAATGATTTACATAGCAAACTTCCAGGTGCTCAAAACAGGGAAATACAGGCAGAAGAGCTGCAAATATTTCCACTGTTACTTCCTTGGTTCTCCTTCTGTTTGTATTTCTGTGTAGTCACTCTTTTAATCCTCCATTAGTGCATATTTGTTAGAATGTAAAAGGTGAAACAGTAAATCTCACTTCATTAGTGACAGCAGAGATTTATACAGAGCCAAAGGTTCCATTAGGTGGACTTGTAATTATGGTAACCAGGCTGGAAAAGTAATGGGTTTGTATGATTGTGCCGATGATTGGCCTGCATTCTGTTCTTGTTGTCATGTGAAATGTTGGCACAGTCAGTTTCTGTGGTGATGCTTTTGTATCCTTGGGCCATGTTGGTTTAATTACTAAGATTTTAAACAGAACAGGAGTCAAAACAAACCAGGCACGAGAAAGGGGGAAACGAAGTAGGACTGGTGGAGGGGTACTTCATACTGACAGCTGTGGATAGAAACTACTTGATAAACTAACAGTATTTCATTGTATTTATTTTCATATGTGTAGTGATTGTTCATTTTGTCGTTCTTTTTTATGTCAAAGAAAGCTTGTTTCTTGGACACACTGTCTCTTAATTGCCTTTATTTAAGTGTGGTTGGAAACGCCACAGAAATATCAGGGCTGGTATGTGTATATCATTCTGGTACTTTAATTTTAAGAAAGAAGTCTTGACTTCCCAAAAGACAATATCCTACACTGTTGCACACAAAGTTGCTATTGGTTGATTGCTGGAACTTGTAGAAACAGAAAACTAAATTAAGCACATATAGCTGCATTCTAGTAAAACAAACAGTACTTAGACCACCATTTTAGACCAAATTTGAAAGTAATTTTTCTGCATAGTTGAACCCTGCTGACTCTTACTGTGATCTGTAGCACAAGACGTGTCTTGTTTACAGGGGGAAAGTAACTCCTTCCCAACAAAGGAAACAACCTGCAGGTCTTGACGTAATGTAAGGCAACACTATCCTCTAGCCATTCAAACAGTCACACACCCCCAAGCAACTAATTTTCCTGCAGCTGGTAGCTCTAATGTTCAGGCGATGACAGCTGCTGTTGTTTTGGAAGTAAAGATGAAATTGAGACATAAATCAGTTACTGATTAACACTTTTCAGTTCAGAAGTAGAAACAAGTTCTTCATCATGTCAAAATTATAGGATCTAAAGTGATCGTTTATGATGTCCCTGAGGACAGTTACTCATGTGACCGAGTGCCTGAAAGAAGGAGACTGATCCAATTTGCAAGTGGATAATTACTTCTTGCCTAGAAAGGAAAAGGTCTATCGGCTTTTGACCTCATGCAATGGGACACCATCATAATCTAACAAATTCAACGTAAATGTACAGTCACACATACCTCAGCAACAGTCCTCTAGGTCATACTTAAGTGTTGTTTTTTAACTGGACAGGACACATAACAGCCACACAAGTCTTATCCAAGCCATAGAATCATAGCTGGAAAAACAATTATTAGAAAACTTTGTATAGTTGTCTGTTATGTCCTAAGCATCTGCTATCCTATTAACACGTAACAAACTTGATCCAGAGTATTATGTGTAGATATACCTAAAAAAATGCTCAAAAATGAATGTGCCTATGCCGTGACAACAAGGAAAACCACCTGTAGGCCTTTGGCCGCCATGCGACTGGACAGCGCTCGACTGGATTATAGTTACCTGAACAGACCATTCTTTAATTTGTAAGGTCAAAATGTGACCAGCAGGTCAGAATGATGATGCTGGTGCTTGATTTTCACATTCATACCTGTAACAGCCAAGGAACTGTTTGTTTCACATAAGCAATAGACCACCTCAAGGCATAACATGCAAAATATGTACAGTAAGTACAAGACTTACACAGTAAGTCCAGACTGCTACATGTAAGTTTGATCCACACTGGGATGGCCCACTACTCTTATTGATAAGTGTGTTGGGTTCTTTAACTTGAAGTGCTCTAGCTTGGCTCTCTCAAATATTCTCTAGGCGTGCCCTCACTTGTTTATGATGCTTTAAATATTGATGGTAATGTTGTTTTGTGTTACTGCAGGTCAGATCCTGGTGGCCCTATCAGTAAGAAGCTGAAGAGGTAAGAATTAAAGCTTGTATGTGTTGGTAGAAGACATTGGGTATTGAACTAATAATTAAAACTTAACCATTTGTTACCATTTTCCTTCACTTGCCTGCTTGCAGACAGTTGAAATGAAACTGGCAGTAACATGTTTGGATAGAGGAAGTTCTGTTAGTAAAATTTAGAAAAGAATTAACTTTCAATTTGATGGTGCATGTATGATAGGCTCTTGTGAAAAATGTGCATTCATTTCCAACATTGTATTGTATAGATATACACCTAAAGTATAAAGCAGAACATGCTACATGATCATTGTAAATTGAAACAGATTTTTTGCTTTAAACAAGCAAACAGCATATTTGTAATAAAAAGTAGTTCTCTTAGATTCACTCTGATTTGCCAGGATTACCTGTAGACTAGTTCTAGAAAAGTCATATCCCATATTCATAAACAAAATTATGTATACTGGTAAGCACAAATTCAATTTTTGAGCAATTGTAAGTGTAACATATACCCTGGAAAAATACAAAAAATGTGCCAAGTGTTATCTTTGTAAATCAGGTAATTGTATTTAAGGAAGCGGTGTTAGATAGTTTGTTTTGACCTGAAAAGTGATATGTACAAGTTACACAAATACTACAGGATTGACCTTTGCCCTTACTTATATACTACATACTATATACCACAGGGTTTATCAACATTATTAGAAGTCAAATGTCATTGAATGAAAAAATACAACCCTCTGCAAAACATGATTGGCTATGTGTTCCCAGGAGAGTTTTGTTTTATGGCCACCTAGAAAGATCCAATTAGGATGACAGCAGCCAGAGACTTCACTTATGTTCATTGCAGATGTTGTTTTGGTATTGAAAGCTCTATGAGTCATGTACACATGTATGGTGTGATATTATGTGATGGGGTGTCATCCTTTATTTTTGTACGTCATGTTATGGTTGACTTTGAGTAACAATTCTACTTCTGGTTTCTCTGGGAAGAGGAAGTTAGCTACAGACATGACAAAAATTAGAGGAGAGTGACAAAGGATAGGAGAGTGCAGTTTGTTATGATAATGTGTTAAGCTTTTATCATATCATGTTTCCAGGTTTAATCATTGCTTCTGATAACTTGTTTGATACTTATGTCAACTATCTATAACTAAAGTAGGAATAAAATTGTTTCTGAACAGTTACCTGATATACATGTAGATGTATCGTCATGTGAAACCCTGTTTACCTTTGACAAGATTTGGGTCTCTGACTGAGTTTATATGGGTGTGTTTTTTTTAATTGCATAACTGGCAAAGTTACAGTCGGATTGAAGTGTATTTGTATTTGGCATGTGAGTAGGTTTTGTTTGCATATGCCAAGCTGTTCCATAAAGAACATGCCAGCTGTTCCATAAAGAACAAATTCTACATATGCTATGCTCGAGCAAGACAGGAGTCAACAAGAGTATAAAAATAAATAAAAGATCAGGAACTGCAGCCTTGTCCTCATTTTGTTTATGTGTGGATCGCCCTTGATAATTCCAGGAAACACTGGAGGATGGAAGTACATAAGCTGTGCCTTAATTCCTTCCAGTTCTAACTTTGAATTCATTTGTGGAAACTCTGCTGTTTTGACTGTGACTTACCATTTAGTAAATGGCTGAGATGTTTGCTGGTACTACTAGCCTAGTTACAGTATTAGACAGGAAGTCTCCCATGAGATAGATTGGAATCAATGTGTCTATTTTTGTGTACACATTTGTAGAAATATCTCTTGACATTTAATCTGGGTGGGCATATTACTTAAAAAATGTAAGGATATATAACAACATTGTAATTTTCACATCCGTTGCAAACTGAGTTCCATGACCTGGTTTGTTATGATTAAGATTTTCTCTCTGTACACAGGCAGCACATCAGAAAAACATGAAAAGCCTGTACATTATCTACCTGGGGATTTCGTGACAATTGGCTTATTCTCACAAAAAAAACATAGGCCCTTTGCTGCATGGATGTACATGTATTTTCCCTCTCTTCAGTGTTCTAGCCACTATTGTCAAATTGCATTATTCCCCAGCTCAAATGTTTGTCCGTCAATTTCAGTGTGACAGTTTTGTAATGATGCAGAACTGTTACCAGGTGTGCCCCTCCCAGGTTCTTTGGTGTCGTGAGGAGCTAATGGTGAATAGCTAACAAATATTTGAGCCTCATTAACCAAAAGAGATGCTTTGACACAACAGTGCCAGCCTCACTTGGTCAAAGCTAGTGGCAGCATGTCAAAGGTCACCACACACCTGTGCCCTGAACCTGTTGGCTTCATCTTGCTTGTATCACTCCTTCAACAAAAATGAAGCTTACATTTGTGTATTAACCCAGTAGATATAAGATTCTTTCGTACTTTTACCTTTTGCTCAAACGGCTTAGGTAAGACAGAAGTAGAGGGCCCAGTCTTGTTGATATGAAATACATGAAAAGGCTCCATAGGATAGCCAATTATGAAACCAATTATTGTTCCACCCTCATACTACATGTATTGTCTGGAAGAGCTGTCTCATTCTTGACGCTATCTCATACGTGTTGTTTTTGTTGTTGGTCCCTTTCGTGCGTAAGTGGTTCACAGGGCAGCAAGTTATCCTTGCTATTTCCCAAACGTAGATAGTTTTGTTCCAATGCCATTGCATCAAGATGCACATCTATATCAGCCATCAAATTCCCAAGAATGCAGCCCCCAGTCTAATCAGTGCTGTTGCTTTGAGACTGCACGTCATTTCCAGTACCAGATTCTGCATAAGTCTTGAATATTCACTGTCTTGCACTACCTGTTAGCTGCACGTTGGTTTTGACTTGAGAGACGAATTGTGATTTAGCCTTACTGTACAGTATATCCTGTCACAAATCATGGCATTTCGGAACTGTTTGTCACGATGCAGGTGTGATTTGTTTCTTGACGTTCCTTTCTTGGGGGGGGGGGAAGGAATCATAATGCTGATCATTGACAAACATTGGAAACATTAGACTTGTTATAGCACCATACACAGGGTAGATTGGGATTTGCAATGCCTGGTATGAACAGGGTCTAAATGCAGAACAGTACTTCAATCTGTAAATGATATCGAGGGAGAGTTAGGACACATATCAAATTGTTGATGTGTAGTTATTGACATCATCATGCTAATTGAAAATTGAGTCTAATAGATCTCCATGTTGTCCACCCCTCTGATTAGTAGTATGGCAGCTTGATGAATAGTTCATGTTATACCTTCCATGATTAACCAACAGTTACTGTATATTTCAACTCAGACTCGCATTGTTTGTAGGTAGCTCAGAAAAACTGTCAGATGAGGTTAAGAGCAGTGAAGAGAAGGCGAGGGAAAGGCTGGATGCCATGGAAAAGCTTGTCTGACAGGTACCTGGAGTAATAATATGTTAGCCAGGGTTTAGTGGTACCAGTTGTTCTCTACTGTGTGACCTTTTATTGACAATGTGCAAGTCTCAGGTTAGCTTTTCAGAAACAGCCCCTTCGCTTTCAAAGAGTGACTGTAATGCTTATGTTATGGTTGTTAGAATACTGGTACACTGCATCATTTACTACTGGCATGAGTGTTTCTACCATACCTTCTGTCTCCCCCAGCCCCCGTGTGCCACACAGCAAGCACTCGTCTGCAGATGAGGGCCCCAGCATGGTAGAGAAGGGGACCAGTGGTGACCGCACTCCCGAGATGCCGGAGAGGGCACACACAGGCCACAAGGGCAACAGAAGTAATGGCAAAAACTCTAAGGTAGCCAAATACGTTGCTAATCCCAAATTCCTGCACATTTATACTATCACGACTGTTAGAAGTCTTTTTTGAAAGACTAAATGTACAAATAATGTCGGTTAAAACATATCATATTCAATATTGATTATATTATATGTATATCAAGTCTATTATATTTTACTATGCTATATTTTGGATATTGATAGAGAAAAAGAAAAGAAAAGCGTGATAATAAGTATTTTCAAATCATGGTTTTTTAAACACATAACCTGTGTGAACTACGAAATTCAATGTAAATAAAGGGTAAGGTGTTAGTTCATATTGAAAATCTAACAGAAAATCTTTGCAATATCTTTACCAATTTAGATAACAGACATCAGCTGTTTTGGTAAAACATGGTTTCATTAGAAGAAAGCTCTATCAATGTATCTTGTATGTTGCCTAATGCTTTCTGAATGAGATGCTCAAGTGGCAGGTGTTACTGTAGACATATCTCTCATAATACAAGACTGATGTCAGCATGCTCATTTTGTAGGATTTGTATCACCATGTTGTCATGCCTGAGTGCTTGTACATGTATGTATGAATGGTTGATGAAAGCATGATGATTGCTGCATGACATATTAGTTGTGACAGTCTGTAGGTGGACCCAGGATTGTCCCCAGGACCCAGGTAGAAGTCAAAGGGCAAGTTTTACAAAACAAATGGCAATTGCAGTTGTTGACATTTCATTGGGGCCGTTATTACCATACAGTCCTACCTTAAAATTGCACTAGCCATATTTCAAACTCGATAACATGGTGCCAAAATACATGTATGGCATTTCATTATCTGTTGTAAAATTTGGAATGAAACTTTCTCCACATCCATAATGTAGAAGAAGTCAACTTTCCTACAGAGTCAAAGGTAATAACTGAACCCTGGGGACATCTGTGGAACATGCTTTATGTTATAACCAAGGAGCTTAAAAACTAGCTCATAATATTATGTTCTCCATGTTCCAGTCCAACAGGTAATGTTTTCACATCACATGTTCATTGTACATGTATGCATGGAGCATGCCACAGCGGTGCTTCTGCCTCAGTATTGTCATGTACTGTAAGACACAACAACTAATTCACTGCTCAGTACTAAATCTGTTTCGTATTGTCTTGCAGAAATCATCAAATTGGTACAATGTAAGTGTTACCTATATTAATTGTAACTATCGCACCCTCCTTCCTGTACTGTAAGCTTAGTAGAAGGTGAAGTTTATAGAAGGTGTGACGTGCTTGTGCCGTATCATAGCAGCGCTATTTGTTCTGCTTTCCTCTTGCATGAAAGCTACTAACAATAACATGTATCACGTAACCTTCACTCAAATAATAGTCACAGTTGTTCTTTGAATAACTCCATTTTCATTTTTCACGTTGTTTGTATGTAGAATATAAGAGAAAGTGAAAGTAAGCCCAGGTCGTGAGCTTATTAAATACCCATTTAGCCACAATTAGGGCCACAAACAAGTATTATTTAACTTAAAGCACTCCATGGTTGAGTTATGTCACTAGTTGAACCTTGAGTGCTAAATGTTAATGTTCAACACACGTTATCATGAAGTAAAGTTTTGTGAACCATGTGTGATACAACACCAATGCATAAAGAAGAATTCCATGTATAATCATAACACATGGTTGACAAACATATTGTGCATAACAATCTAGGGTCATTTTTTCAGATCCTGTTAAGATTGAAAACAGGCTGGCCTGTCTTATCCAAGTTCTCAGAAACTACTTTCTGGAGATATGTCAGTCATCTGCTTAGGCTTATGTTCTTCTATGTTGCGACCTGGGACTTCCAACTGTAGCCAAAAGTTGATTCTGGGCATGTCCTGAGATGACCAGACTCAAAGAACCTGGTTTGGGGTGAAGCAGCTCACAAACAGGATTTAACTCCATTACATTGTATGCAGAGTCATCCATTTTACTGTATTTTCTCCAGAAATAAAAAAAAAAGCATCTCTACACCCTTTTATGGTCCCTGTCTTAGGAGGGTCTTAAACATAAAAGGCCACAAAAAAATTACCCTTAGGCTACTACTCTGTAATACCTCTGTAACACGTGTAGTTTTACTTAAATGGTAGTTTTACAACAAATCTTCCTGTAATAGTTTATCAGTTTTGTACTCCTTCCCTGTAGATGCTGCATCCAACGTACAAGTCAAAGTGTGAAGATTTCCACAAGCTTTTCAAGCATTTGCCTGAGACAGAAAGATTACTTGTAGGTAAGTAATATCCTTCACAAATCCTGCACGAAAGTGTGGAAATATTGTTTTTATCATTGCATTTCCCTTCTCGATACCGTGTATACATGTAGTGATGTTGTCCGAACCCACTGCCG